CAATAGTAGGCTTTAATTCTAATTGGCCAATTTGATAATTGACCAATTATATAATAGCCCTATATCACATGATAGGGAGCATGCCTTTATCTTTCCCAGTAGTAAAACTTATGAAATTGATACACCTGCATTTACTTTTTTGATACACCCAGATGTACCCTAAAATTTCATTACTTTTTTGATGTTAGTTAGATGTATGTGCACGTGACTTGACCCGAATCTATTATACAGTTATATATTATTAAATAGTTTGTTAAACAATAGAGGTTTTAAAATTTAGTATTAACACGCTATTATATATTATAAAATCGGTTATTGAACAATAGAATTCTAACTAGAAACTGTTGTATTTATGCATAAACTCAGCTTTATTACAGTAAAAAGCCAAATATGATTATTAAAATGCCTTCAATTGCAATTTTAATAATTCACATTTTTTTCTTATTTTTTGATTAATTTTCTAGGAACTTTCAAATACATTTTATATTAACCCAACTACATTTAATGCCTAATAATATTCAAAACATATTGATATGCAATGTCCAATCTGTGAGTAAGTGTTTCCAGGTCTCCTATAAGTTGAGGATTTGTAGTCAAAATAGACTGATTGGTTTCAATTACCAAAGGTTGCAACTGGGAAGTGACAACAGGTGGTGTTTCAAACTGCTGTTGAAAGACTATAGTTGGTGATTGAGGTGTTTTAGCTACTAAATTTTTATTAGTTTGCGAGGTTGAAGTGGAGGTTGTTTCATAACTTGAATAAAATGTTTCATTATGCTGACTCTATGTATGAAAAAAATAAAAAAATAAATTTTGATTTAATAATTTAAATAAAGCGAATAATTACTTTAATTAAGTAAAGTGAATAATTACTTTAATCCTTCGTTTTGCATTTTTTATGCTTGTTGTTTTTCTCTTTTGAACTGAAGGCAGCAGAATTTCACAATTCATATCTTGAGGTTGAATTGAACGCAAAATACAGCTTGGCTTGCGTGGTTTTGCTAATGGTTTGGAAGGTGATCCATTGTTTACCAATTGCTTTTGGTTTAACTCCAATGGCCGAAAAGGATCAGTGCAAATTTTTGAGTAGTTTTTCAAAGGATAAAAAATTTGAGCACCTGTAATATTTGAATTGGTTATGTCAGGTCAATTTTTTTTTAAAAAAAACAAAATTAAATCGAATTTTCATTAAAATAGATAGAGCCAGTAATAAAAATACCTTTAATATTATAAAGACAAATAATTTCTTGATACGCTTCATCTATGAACCCAAGATAAATCATATTGTTTTTTTGATCTGGAGGTATAACTCATTCTTTGTTTTTAAAAAAATTAACTAGCTCATTTTTTGTCTCATGTACTACATTCACAGTATTTACTTGTGCTGTTGAAAAAATTCTTGCAGCATGACAATGCTTGCAGACATCATGAAACGGAATATTCCAAATGTAATCCAAACATTGGGGACATTCGCCTGTGACAATATTTGTAACATAGAACCCATTTCGCGATGCAACACTACAATTATTAGTTAGTAGATCTATCATGAGTTGAAGATAAGTGATATTTTGTTTTTCCAATTCAATTAATTCTTTGCTGCAATATGAATCAACGATTTCTAATTCATGATGTTTTTTAATATAATAATAATTAGGATCCTCAGATTGTTTAACCAAGCCCAAGAGAAAATATAGCCTTCCTTGATTTAAACGTCAATTCATGTCAGAGGTTGTTTTAGATGATCCATTTTGCTGTAATAATTGATATACTAATTAATATATATGATATTTAGTTAGGAGCAGGAAGTTTGATTTAGTTTTATTTGGTTTAATTAATGCAGTATCTGCATATTTAGATTTAAATTAAACCAAATCAAACCAAATCGACCTTCTTCATCTCTAATTATAGTACTATATAGAGTATTTTAACTGACCTGTTCAATTGATTGTGTATTAAAAAGTGTAACCAATCCTGCTTCGTAAGTTATTTGACCTGTTCTTTGTTCATTTAAATTCTCCCGTATTAATTTTACTCCATAAAGGCATTCAATGAATGTTATAACAGTTTGTTTTCCAGATAGTTAAGATTCAATTGCACGATTCATCTGTTCGATATAATTATTGGTGGTTATTAAATTTTTTTGATGATTAATTGGAAGATGACCAGCATCAATAAATTGTAATCTCCATTCATCGCACATCCAATTATTATCTAAATCCTTAGTTAATAAGGTTTTTTGTTCTTGAGTAAGTGGGAGAGCAATAAGAAAGCTCTTGTAATAATTTGCCATTTCAAAAGCCTTTTCTTCAGTACGACATCGTGCCACCAATTTAAACCCTAGTGCAATTATGTATCTTAAATAAAATTGATTTTTAATAACTTGTTAATTTAAAAAAAAATAAATAAAAAATAA